TGTATTAATACATGTTGTATTATAATACATGTTGTATTATAATACATGTTGTATTATGATACATGTTGTATTATAATACATGTTGTATTATGATACATGTTGTATTATGATACATGTTGTATTATAATACATGTTGTATTATGATACATGTTGTATTATGATACATGTTGTATTATAATACATGTTGTATTATGATGCATGTTGTATTATAATACAGGAGAGAAGAGCTGCTAGATAAGTACAGGTCAGCTATAGATTTCATTAAGTCTAAGGGAGGGATCCCAATCATATGTAGCATCTTGCCTAGAAGGGGAGTAGGAAATGAATGGTTGTCTAGGGCAATTGGTGTAAATTGCTGGCTAGACAGATACTGCAAGGAACTTGCAATCCCATTCATTGACAACTGGAACAACTTTTATGGCAAACATGATATGTATGCAAGGGATGGGGTACATCTCTCTGGGTCAGGGGTGGTAGCACTTGCAGACTCGATTGAGAAGGCCATTGGTGAAATGCCTATGATTTTAAACTGATGGAAGATAGAGGTATGGGTGTGTGTGGGAAACAAGCAGGTTGCAACACTAGGGTTGGAAACAGTAAATGTATAAAAGGCATTCAGCATGAAGTTATAAATAAAGACAATAGAACAGGTCAGCAAACAAAGGGGGACAGCAGAGGGCAGCAAGGGACTAGCTCCCTTAAGGTTTACTATACTAATAGCAGGAGTGTTAGAAATAAGATAGATGAGCTAAGATTAATTGCAAGTGCAGGAAACATAGATATTATTGCTATAACAGAGACCTGGCTCAATCTGAAAGATAGAGAGATGCCCTCTGAATGTCACATACAAGGCTATAAATTATTCCACACTGACAGGGTCAACAGGAAAGGTGGTGGAGTAGCGATGTATGTCAGAGACAATTTAAATTGTTGTGTTAGACAAGATATTAAATTAGAAGCGTCAGCCACTGAATCTGTTTGGTTACAGCTTCTCGAGGGCCGAGAAAAACTAATTTTGGGTGTGATTTACAGGGCCCCAAATCTTGATAGGGAGTGCAGTAAACTTCTATGGGACGAAATTCGTAAGGCATCTACATACGAAAATGTTGTGCTAATGGGAGATTTCAACTATAGACAGATTGACTGGAGCAATTTGACAGGAAATTTAGAGTCGGGTGACTTTCTTGATACGATCCAGGATTGTTTTTTAAAACAGTTTGTGACAGAGCCAACTAGGGGAAATAACCTCCTTGACTTGGTTCTTGCCAGTAGGGAAACACTAATTAATAATCTTGAGGTTAATGATGAGCTTGGGGAGAGTGATCACAAATCACTCAGTTTTAATATATCATGGAATTCCCCTAATAATGGCAAAACAAGTCTCCGTCCCTGACTTTCGCTTGGCTGATTTCATAGGACTGAAAAATTACTTAGGTGGGCTGAACTGGAATGACCTGACTAAGGGTCAGGTAGGTGGTGATGGTTGCCGATATGATGCTTTCCAGGGCATAGTTCTAGCTGCTCAGTCAAATTATGTTCCAAATAGGGAAATCAGATCAAACAAAAATGATCCTAAATGGATGAACAATAGATTAAAATATCTGATTGGTCAAAAGAGAGGCATATATAGGCAAATCAAAAGAGGAGAGGGGCAATTAAGAAATCGATATATTCAGTTAAAGAGAGAAATAAAAAAGGGAATTAGAAAAGCAAAAAGAGATTATGAGGTTAAAGTTGCAAAAGAATCGAAGACTAACCCAAAAGGATTCTTTCAGGTATACAGAAGTAAGATCAGGGGACAAGATAGGCCCACTCAAAAGTTCCTCGGGTCAGCTCACTGACAGTGATAAGGAAATGTGTAGAAGTTTTAACACATACTTCCTCTCAGTTTTTACACAGGAGGATACCAGCGATATTCCAGTAATGATAAATTATGTAGAACAGGACGATAATAAACTGTGCACTATTAGGGTCACAAGTGACATGTCCTTAGGCAAATAGATAAATTAAAAACCTAACAAATCCCCAGGCCCTGATGAACTGTATGCAAGGGTTCTAAAGGAATGTAAAGAGGAGCTTAGCACACCTTTGGCTAATCTTTTCAACATATCACTACAAACTGGCATGGTGCCAGATAAGTGGAAAATGGCAAATGTGATACCTATTTTCAAAACAGGTGACAGGTCCTTAGCTTCGAACTATAGACCAATAAGCCTAACCTCCATAGTGGGAAAATTTATGGAATCAATAATTGCCGAGGCAGTTCGTAGCCATCTTGAAAAGCATAAATTAATCAACGAATCTCAGCATGGTTTTACAAAGGGGCGTTTCCTGCCTTACGAATTTATTAACTTTTTTCACTAAGGTATTTGAGGAGGTAGATCATGGTAATGAATATGAATTGTGTATATGGACTTCAGTAAGGCTTTTGACAGGGTCCCACATCAGAGACTATTGAGGAAAATTAAAGCACATGGAATAGGAGGAGAAATTTTTTCCTGGATAGAGGCATGGTTGACAAATAGGCAGCAGAGAGTTTGCATAAATGGGGGAAATCAGAGTGGGGAAGCGTCACGAGCGGTGTTCCACAGGGGTCAGTGTTGGGCCCCCTGCTGTTCACAATCTACATAAACGACATAGATGAGGGCATAAAGAGCGACATCGGCAAGTTTGCCGATGACACCAAAATAGGCCCTCGAATTCATTCTGACGAGGACATTCGAGCACTCCAGGAAGATTTGAATAGACTGATGCAGTGGTCGGAGAAGGGGCAGATGCCGAAATTAATAGACAAATGCAAAGTTCTAAATGTTGGACAGGACAATAACCATGCCACAATAAACTAAATAATGTAGATTTTAAATATTACGGATTGCAAAAAGATTTGGGAGTTCGGGTAGCAGTAACCTGAAACCAAGACAACAGTGCTTTAAAGGTTCGCAATAAAGCTAATAAAATCCTTGGCTTCATATCAAGAAGCATAAATATAGGAGTCCTCGGGTTGTCTTCAACTTAAACATCCTTGGTTAGGCCTATTAGATTATGCGCACAGTTTTGGTCACCGTATTACAAAAAGGGGATAAAATCCGGGAAAATGTACAAAAGGGGATGACAAGTTTATCCATAAAGAACCTCCCATAGGAAATAGAAAAAGGGGGGCCCTGAAACTGCACTCCTAGAAAACGTAGAATTAGGGGGGAATGTTTGGGGTGAAAAAGGGAAAGACAGGAATAAATAAAGGGATGTAAATAGTGTGTTTGAAAATTCTGCCAATACAGGACTCGCAGCAATGGTTTTAAGTTGGAAAAATTCAGATTCGGAAAGGGATATAGGAAAGTACTGGTTTTGTAATAGAGTTGTGGATGAGTGGAACAACTCCCAAGTACCGTTATAGAGGCCAAACGTTTGTATTTTAAAAATAGTTTGGATAAATACATGAGTAATTGGGTGGTGTGATTTAGACCTATAGCTTTTGTCTAACAGTTCGGTTGCCTGTTTCCTCCCTTAATCAATGTGCCTGACCTGACTAGGTTGGTGCATTGCTTAAAGCCGGTAGGAGATTTGGAACCTGCCTCGCTTTGGGCCAGTAGGCCTTTTTGCATGTCCTTCTTCTTCTATTTTTAAATGTTCTTATGTGATTTTAAAAAAATACTTTGTTTTTATTAGGGATACATTTGATTATAAACAGGGTTTATTAGAATACATGTTGTATTGATACATGTTGTATTATAATACATGTTGTATTATGATACATGTTGTATTATAATACATGTTGTATTATGATACATGTTGTATTATGATACATGTTGTATTATAATACATGTTGTATTATAATAGATGTTGTATTATAATAGATGTTGTATTATAATAGATGTTGTATTATAATAGATGTTGTATTATAATACATATTGGAGACACAAGTAAGAGTCAACGCGGGAGGATCGAGCTCATCGTGATTAACACTGAGCCACTGGTTGCTCTTCGCATCATCAATTAACCATCTAAGAATAGATATGGCATAAAAAGCTTAATACGGCCAGAAGTCATCTTAGGATTTTAGTCATTGTGTAGACTAGTACCTGTTAGTCTATTGTTTTAAATAATATTGTAGAGTTATATCTGACTTTGCATGATACAATATATTTCGTATCTAAGTTCAGGTATCTATCACCTAGAAAGTTTTATAGTCCAAATTATAGTTCATGACCAAAATCATATATACTTCTTTTAGTCTTTACAGGTTAAAAGAGTACATGTCTTGCAGACATGTACTCTAGTAGCCCAGGATGTACAGGTGCTGTCTTGCGGACATGTACTCTAGTAACCCAGGACACATAGGGGCTGTATTGCAGATATGTACTCTAGAAACCCAGGACACACAGATGCTGTCTTGCAGACATGTACTCTAGTAACCCAGGACGCACAGGTGCTGTCTTGCAGACATGTACTCTAGTAACCCAGGACACACAGGGGCTGTCTTGCAGACATGTACTCTAGTAACCCAGGACACATAGGGGCTGTATTGCAGATATGTACTCTAGAAACCCAGGACACAAAGATGCTGTCTTGCAGACATGTACTCTAGTTACCCAGGACACACAGGTGCTGTCTTGCAGGCATGTACTCTAGTAACCCAGGACACACAGGTGCTGTCTTGCAGACATGTACTCTAGGAACCCAGGCCACACAGGGGCTGTCTTGCAAACATGTACTATAGTAACCCAGAATACGCAGGGGGTGTCTTGCAGACATGTACTATAGTAACCCAGGACACACAGGTGCTGTCTTGCAGACATGTACTATAGTAACCCAGGACACACAGGTGCTGTCTTGCAGACATGTACTATAGTAACCCAGGACACACAGGTGCTGTCTTGCAGACATGTACTCTAGTAACCCAAGACACACAGGGGCTATCTTGCAGACATGTATTATAGTAACCCAGGACACACAGGTGCTGTCTTGCAGACATGTACTCTAGTAATCCAGGATACATAGTGGCTGTCTTGCAGACATGTACTCTAGAAACCCAGGACACACAGGTGCTGTCTTGCAGACATGTACTCTAGTTTTCCCCCCCGGGCACACAGGTGCTGTCTTGCAGACATGTACTCTAGTAAACCAGGACACACAGGGGCTGTCTTGCAAACATGTACTATAGTAACCCAGCACACACAGGTGCTGTCTTGCAGACATGTACTCTAGTAACCCAGGACACACAGGTGCTGTCTTGCAGACATGTACTCTAGTAACCCTGGACACACAGGGGCTGTCTTGCAAACATGTACTCTAGTAACCCAGGACACATAGGGGCTGACTTGCAGACATGTACTCTAGTAACCCAGGACACACAGGGGCTGTCTTGCAGACATGTACTCTAGTAACCCAGGACACACAGGTACTGTCTTGCAGACATGTACTCTAGTAACCCTGGACACACAGGTGCTGTCTTGCAGACATGTACTCTAGTAACCCTGGACACACAGGGGCTGTCTTGCAAAAAATGTACTCTAGTAAAACCCAGGACACATAGGGGCTGACAGCAATGTACTCTAGTAACCCAGACACACAGGGGCTGTCTTGCAGACATGTACTCTAGTAACCCAGGACACACAGGTACTGTCTTGCAGACATGTACTCTAGTAACCCTGGACACACAGGGGCTGTCTTGCAAACATGTACTCTAGTAACCCTGGACACACAGGGGCTGACTTGCAGACATGTACTCTAGTAACCCAGGACACACAGGGGCTGTCTTGCAAACATGTACTCTAGTAACCCTGGACACACAGGTACTGTCTTGCAGACATGTACTCTAGTAACCCTGGACACACAGGGGGTTTTCTTGCAAACATGTACTCTAGTAACCCTGGACACACAGGGGCGACTGCAGACATGTACTCTAGTAACCCTGGACACACAGGGGCTGTCTTGCAAACATGTACTCTAGTAACCCAGGACACACAGGGGCTGTCTTGCAAACATGTACTCTAGTAACCCTGGACACACAGGGGCTGACTTGCAGACATGTACTCTAGTAACCCTGGACACACAGGGGCTGTCTTGCAAACATGTACTCTAGTAACCCAGGACACACAGGGGCTGTCTTGCAAACAGTACTCTAGTTACCCTGGGCACACAGGCTGACTTTCAGACATGTACTCTAGTAACCCTGGACACACAGGGGGCTGTCTGCAAACATGTACTCTAGTACCCTGGACACACAGGGGCTGACTTGCAGACATGTACTCTAGTAACCCAGGACACACAGGGGCTGTCTTGCAGACATGTACTCTAGTAACCCAGGACACACAGGTACTGTCTTGCAGACATGTACTCTAGTAACCCAGAACACGAATACTTTAATCTTCTGAAAATAAGTGACTGTCTGACTCACGAAACAACAATAATAATAATATTGTTAACAGTTCTCAGAACAGAAAGAATTTAAACCTATGACAAGCTCATTCTAAAATTAGCAGTCTAATGTTCTAACCACTACACAATGTTGGCCTAATAAGACAAATTCAAATTGAAATATTTCTGTACGCTGGGGAGAGGAGAGTCAACTTCTTGCCACACCCATGTTGGTGGGAGATTAGTTTTTATAAGCATTCATTAATAGTCACAATGTGAGTGAATTACCTGACTTTGATCGTTTTCATCTGCTATTTGTGGATCTGTATTAAATTAATCGATCTGTGAAAATATTGATATGTATGCGTAGATGACCGACAAATAAAACATCCTAGTTAATCGCATTTTCTATGCATTTTTTTTCCACAGATTTACAGGGACGAGCCTATTACTGCGCCTTCGTGTGATCGCGCTTAATGATACACTTTCATTCAGTCTTCCTTTGGCTGTCATATGGTTATAACTATGACCATAATTTTTAAAGGGGTGGATCTGTAAGCCAGCGGAAGGCCTCGGTCAGATTACCAAAAGCTCCAACGGCGGGTTATCATCTAAGACCCGCGTCAGGAAACACTTGTCTTGCTTCCTGACGAACCTTACCTAACGCTCACTAAAGTTTTGCGTCGTCCCGCAGGTATGCTCAGCGAGCAATCAAGAATCCTCATTACACGTTCAGCATGGCCAGCCGTGTGTACTTCAACAACAACCTCCACCTTCGACCTTGCATTACCAGCATCTTCTACAAAGAGCTACAGAGTGTTGACTTCTCCAACGTGAGTATTCTCATCTTTACCTGTTTTTCTCAATAATTTTTCCTCGCAAATACTTTCTCGTGAATGTTTATTCTTGTTTTTTTTTTGTCCATTATCATCATGTACTTGTCACTCATCTTTAATAACGAAATTTTGCATCTTTGTTATAGTCAACAGTATATTTTGTTTTACGTTCTTTTGACCAAAAGATTTACCAAACTTCCTACCAAGACGACAAGAGATATTTTGAAGGCTGTATAATGTTCAGAGTTATCAAAGCTTCTGTAGTATAGAGATGTAGCACTTTCCTTAAGCAATTAGGGTGTTACTACCATTAAGGATGCAAATTATTGTGTTTCTAGCTTTCAGTTATACTTTAATGCATAACAAAGTTTGGGATTTATGTGTGACTCTCAGTCTGTCTACCGAGAAGCATACGTATTTGGGTACATATCCAGCACTGAGGTTCCTCATATATAACTTGACACACCGAGAAACACCAGCATCTAGGTATGTTCCCACCATTAACAATATCATGTAATATTTACAGCTGAGAAGAACACTGCCATGCATTACTTAACTCCTATAAAGCACAACTGTCTCAGCATGTACCCAGTACTAAAATAGTCAAGCACTACTTGCAAAGTGAGAAACTCAAATGTCTGGGTATATACCTAATACAACTCTACTATACACTACTTAGCAACAGAGAAACATTGCTGCATGTGTATGAACCCACCACTAAAATCACTGTACATTGCTTAATATGTTTGGATTTACTGCCTGAAGTCGCACAAATTACTTTTTTCTTTAAGATATATTTCGTGAATCAACTTGTTTTTATAAAGTCAGTGACGTGAGAAAACAGATGTCATTTTTAATATGACTAATTGAATGAAAATAAAACGGAAGCCAAAAAGATTTAATGTTGATATTATTAATGAAAATCAATTAAAAAACTTACAAATTTATTATTTTAGGTCTGTTATTATACCGGTCACTAAATTACTGTTAACGATTGCTAATAATATCAATGTATATAAAACTATAAAAATTAATGTATCATGAATTTATTGATTCAGAATTAAAATAAATATATATCAGAGAGAAGGTTTAAACTTCATTACCGGGAAGATGGTCTACCAACGTCACAAAACCAGCTGGGAAGAAAAACTTGCAAATAACATAAAATTGCAAAAGAGAAAATCACTTTTTACCTTGGCCTCGATTTTGGCGTCGCTCTCTCTAAAAAAAATGAGTTTGACAAAGGGGTTTTTGGGGTTTTTTTCTCATCTAAATGTAGTAACATAGATTCGTTCGGATTTTTTAATTCTCATTGTTTTTCCTGTGGCAGCGGGGCGCTAGTATCCCCAAAAATTTAAAATTTACAATCCCGGGAAAGAAAAGAACCAATGCATAACATTTTGTTGTTTTTATTTACACAGTGTCTTTTTTCGCGAACTAGAGGGCTTGGATACCATTACTATAAATTACAAAACCCCCAGTAGAGACAAAATTACCACGTAACGACGTACTAAATACGACATACCGAGGACTTGATAGCGCAAAAACACTTACTTGAAAGCTGGGGCCCCTGAACCAAGAGGCGGCATACATTATTATATTAATATTATTATTATTTTATTATTGTTAGTTATAGTATAGTAATATTCGAAGTAGTAAAAATTTTTAAGTAGTTTTTTCCGGGGGGAGGGGAGGTTGTCATTTTAGTTCTGGTTTCCCATATTCGCAGGAAACGACGTTTGGGGGGTTTTCGTGTCAGGTTTTCATTATCATATTAAAATTCAGCAAAAACATTTTTCCCTCACTGTCAGGTTTTTTTGGGAAAGGGCGCCATCAAAGATTTCTGTCGAGCACCACCAAAGGGCCCCCATCCCACAGGTGGGGACCCCCCCGACACATGGGGACCACTCATATCTCGTCAAAGCAGCTTACTCAAGGGATCTGGATCACCGGTTTTAGCCCCCCCTCCACCACCAACCAAAAATTCTTCATAAGCCCCGCTCCTCCCCTTTACTGCCTATGATGAAACCCCAGGGTTATCTCAGGCAAAATAGGGAGGTGTACTGCTTATTGTAACTGCTTAATATATGTCCCTTTTTCCCCCTCCCTCTTTCTCACTTCCTCTCATTAATAAAAGGAGCATAATTCGGGAAAAGGCTTTGGAATCCCCAAACGCTGAAATAGAAGCAACCATACCAACACCTATTTAACGGTCTAGTTCAAAACTTGCTTTTTTTTCGTTCTTCCGCGAAGTCACCGCAGCTGGGAGCCCAAATTCTTGAGCTGCCTACCGGGGGGGACATCTCCATGTTTGCTGCTGCTACCAATGAAGAAAGGGGAAAAACGGATTCTCGGGAAAAGGTGTCACCCTGAATGTGGAACCTTCTTCAACTTAACACAAAAAGAGTGGCCAAACTTGCCGTTTACTCCCCTGGCCCAAGTTTAGGCTTTAAAAGACACTCAAAGATGAGCTGAAGGAGGGAAGTAGTAGAGAAAGGAAAAAGAAAGAGAGAGGGGGGAACAAATCATGTATGCAGTAAATGGTTTAGAAAACCCCCAAGTATATTGAACAAAAAAAAGCATTTGGAAAAGTTAAAAAAACGAAATAAAAAAAATTAAGTTATGCGTAAAATTAAATTTTTAAACACTTTGGGTTTAATTTTGATCAAAAGAGGTGACTGAGAAAGGGAAAGGGAACGAAGAAGGAAAAAAAACTGGAAAAGGAGACAGGCCGGGAGAATGGGGACACAGACAAATTCACCAATTAACACTTTGCATACCTTCCCCACCAGAGCCTCAAGAACCTCGGCATCAATGACTTGTTCAACATTAGCTCTGCCAACCTGACGGACTTCGTAGTACATGAGGTGCTCAGCGTCAGCAAGACTATCCACAAGGCCTTCGTTGAGGTGTCTGAGGAGGGCACTGAGGCGGCGGCAGCGACGGGGCAGATTGGTTACACCAGGTTTGGCTTCGGAAAGCCACGCAACAATTTCCTCAAGTTTCACTGCAACAGACCCTTCTTGTTCCTCATCTTCGACAATCAGATGAAGAATGTACTCTTCATGGGCGCCTACAAGCACCCTGCGGGAGACACCAGGAAAGGCGGCAGTGTCTTTGAAAACCAGACACTGGCACAAATACAAAAGGGAAAATAAGATAGTTCAGAATTTTATTGTGCAGATATAAGGATGTGGAGAAGACAAGAAAGTAGATATCAAGTGTGTAAAAACTAAAAAATTACAATTTTAACCAGAGCACCAGGACACACTAGGGGGGGTTCATAAGGTTTTAACCAGAGAACCAGGACGCACTAGGGGGGGTTCATAAGGTTTTAACCAGAGCACCAGGACACACTAGGGGGGGTTCATAAGGTTTTAACCAGAGCACCAGGACACACTAGGGGGGTTCATAAGGTTTTAACCAGAGCACGAGGACACACTAGGGGGGGTTCATAAGGTTTTTAACCAGAGAAACCAGGACACACTAGGGGGGTTCATAAGGTTTTAACCAGAGCACCAGGACACACTAGGGGGGGTTCATAAGGTTTTAACCAGAGAACCAGGACACACTAGGGGGGGTTCATAAGGTTTTAACCAGAGCACCAGGACACACTAGGGGGGGTTCATAAGGTTTTAACCAGAGAACCAGGACACACTAGGGGGGGTTCATAAGGTTTTAACCAGAGCACCAGGACACACTAGGGGGGGTTCATAAGGTTTTAACCAGAGAACCAGGACACACTAGGGGGGGTTCATAAGGTTTTAACCAGAGCACCAGGACACACTAGGGGGGGTTCATAAGGTTTTAACCAGAGAACCAGGACACACTAGGGGGGTTCATAAGGTTTTAACCAGAGCACCAGGACACACTAGGGGGGGTTCATAAGGTTTTAACCAGAGTACCACGACACACTAGGAGGGTTCATAAGGTTTTAACCAGAGCACCAGGACACACTAGGAGGGTTCATAAGGTTTTAACCAGAGTACCAGGACACACTAGGGGGGTTCATAAGGTTTTAACCAGATTACCAGGACACACTAGGGGGGTTCATAAGGTTTTCTTAAGAGCGTTTAAGATTTGTAATCCACCCACATCTCTCTGGTTGTTATACCAACAAGCTCAGTGACCCACAACATCTCTCTGGTTGTTATACCAACAAGCTCAGTGATCCACAACATCTCTCTGGTTGTTATACCAACAAGCTCAGTGATCCACAACATCTCTCTGGTTGTTATACCAACAAGCTCAGTGACCCACAACATCTCTCTGGTTGTTATACCAACAAGCTCAGTGACCCACAACATCTCTCTGGTTGTTATACCAACAAGCTCAGTGACCCACAACATCTCTGGTTGTTATACCAACAAGCTCAGTGACCCACAACATCTCTGGTTGTTATACCAACAAGCTCAGTGACCCACAACATCTCTCTGGTTGTTATACCAACAAGCTCAGTGACCCACAACATCTCTGGCTGTTATACTAACAAGCTCAGTGACCCACATCTCTCTGGTTGTTATACCAACAAGCTCAGTGACCCACAACATCTCTCTGGTTGTTATACCCACAAGCTCAGTGACCCACAACATCTCTCTGGTTGTTATACCAACAAGCTCAGTGACCCACAACATCTCTCTGGTTGTTATACCAACAAGCTCAGTGACCCACAACATCTCTCTGGTTGTTATACCAACAAGCTCAGTGACCCACAACATCTCTCTGGTTGTTATACCAACAAGCTCAGTGACCCACAACATCTCTCTGGTTGTTATACCAACAAGCTCAGTGACCCACAACATCTCTGGTTGTTATACCAACAAGCTCAGTGACCCACAACATCTCTGGTTGTTATACCAACAAGCTCAGTGACCCACAACATCTCTCTGGTTGTTATACCAACAAGCTCAGTGACCCACAACATCTCTCTGGTTGTTATACCAACAAGCTCAGTGACCCACAACATCTCTCTGGTTGTTATACCAACAAGCTCAGTGACCCACAACATCTCTGGTTGTTATACTAACAAGCTCAGTGACCCACAACATCTCTCTGGTTGAGGCTCAGCTTTTACATTGCCTGTAAAAGTTAATTAACAACTATGTTTATTCTTAACATTATAACATTTATGACACCACTGCTTGTGTTTATTATTATTTTAGATACTGCGATGCAGTTAACATAGGCGAGAAAGAGCAAGACACAATACCGTGACTTTGTAAATGGCCGAAGTTGGACCGAAACGTCGTCGTAAGCTCCTCTCTCCTATGTGCGGGTTATTTGTGTATTGTAACACATTTTGATTCT